TACAAATTGTTTGTCAGAATGGATGGGACTTAAACAACATATTCATAACCATAATATTTACACTACATAAACAAGTATAAGTACCAAAGTAGTCTCCCCAAAACCAACTACTGAAGATATGTCCTACTTATCTCCAGCGTTCCAACTCTCAGGCTCATTAAATACATAATTGAGCCTATTATACTAATCTATCTAACAGTCTAATTCTTCCCTCAAGCTCTGTTATCCTGGTTTCTTGAAAATTTTAGTAAGGATGAGTGTCTATTATATCCTTTACAAACATTTAGCATAACATCATAATTTTAACATAAATACAACACATTCAATTTCATGAATTCATATTCACAAATATATTCACATCACATAACAATCAATAATTTATTATCCATTTTCCTTTCTCTTATTCCAACACGCACTCTTCTAATGCAGTGTGATCACAAATACCGATGCCTTCAACACTTTTCAAGGTCTTACTCAACTAGGTAAATAGTCGCCGGTTAGCCTATGCACCCAGATACATGTACAATAATCGGGCCCCTTAGCAAAGGCATAGTTAGGAGTCTAGTCAAAAAACGAGTGTGAGGTCATATGACGCATTCACTCTCAAAAAGAGTGCGTACACATACGCAAATGCGGCTCACCACCCTACATTTCTCCCAGATTATCATTGTCTCCAAACTCTATACCTCAAGTGTATCTTTGTAACTATTCACACTAAATTTCATCTATATCTGACTCTTAGGTCATTCTCAGGGTTATTCTCTTTCTCATTCATAAGATTGTGCTTAGTAAAGCACTTCTAGACTAATTCCATTTCACTCATATATTCATTGATACAATTTCAAACTTAATCATTTCATCTTATTCATACATACTCCACACAATCACATAATAATCATTCAACAAATTCAATCATCGTTCACATTAAGTACTCATCATATAATATCCACATATATTTTAACCACTTAATCCAAGCAACTAAACAGTCCAAACAATTAAACAAACATATTTTTATTCATACTCCACCCAACAAATATCTCAACCATATATTCTCATACCATATTCACATAACAGTACTCTATGAACATAAATAAATATTGTACTATAACGATAAAATAGAGTTTTCTTTACCTCGAAGATGAGCTCATAGACAGATATTGAAAAGGATCGAGAGACAACTATAAAGGTTCTCCTGAATATCAAGTGATATCCATAAAAAATAAAAACAAGAAAATGATCAGAGAAACTCAAGTTTAACCCGAAGAAACTTACTTAGAGTCGATTAGCTTCAATGTCTAAGTTTGACTTTGAAGATAAAACAGAGTTTCTGAGGCTTTTATCTAAGTAAAAGGAAGAGAGAGTTTAAAGAAAACTTGAAAGAGGGACGTTTGAAATAGAATGAATTTCTCATGCGAGAAATCTCTAAAATATTCTAACCCCACGTATTCTCACTTCAGCGAGGGATAATCTTTATAAAAATTAAATTAAAAAAATGTAATTTTTACTTTTCTTCAAGTTTTTAAGTCATAAATATAAAGAAATTCTCACTTTATTTTCCTTCCTTATTATAAATTATTATCTATAATGAATAAGAAATTAAGGATGTTATATTTTCTAACCTATTTTTGTATCCATGTCATACAAAGACAAAGTCTTAGAATCTAAAAATTTAGATCTCGTTTTAGGAAACGATGAAATTATTAAATCTATTATAGAAGACTTTAATATTTTTCTTGATGAAGATGACTTTAATATAATCAATGACAATAACCAAGATCTTTATCCAAACTTAAAAATTGCTTTAGATGATTAAGAGGCCTAGTGCTCTCCATGGAAAGGTACCCTAATAGTAAAATTGTTAGACAAATATATTAGTTTTAACTATTTGAATAAGATGTTAGAGAATATTTCGAGGAAAAAAGGATCCTTGAAAATCTTAGATTTAAATAACAATTTCTTTTAGTTATGTTTGAGAATATAGATGATTACAAATTTGCTCTCTTTAAGGAGCCCTAGTTGATTCTTAACCATTACCTCATAATCCAAAGGTAGAGGCCTTTATTTAGGCTTCAAGTATGGTAAATATGAAGGACTTCACCTTATTTGCTTTAGTTGTGGTAAATATGGTCATAGAGAAATCTTGCCTTGAAACCTATATTCCTAGCCCATCTCATACTAACTCACTTGTCTATTCTAATGAACCAGTAATGGATACGAAAGGAGTGACTAGTTCCTCTTTTATTCATTAAAGTTTCAATTTTGGCTAAAACCAAATATGTTATTCACTTAAAAATTAGTAATTATGGTGTTAAAGAATGGATATTATCTTCAATATATGCCAGCCCTTAGGAACATTTAAGATCTGAGTCCTAGAAGGAGATAATTACTTTCAGTGCCTCTATCAATCTCCCCTGGTGCTTGACTAGAGATTTTAATTTTGTCCTCTTTGAGTCTAAAAAATGAAGGGGCAGACATGCCACATTTCATGTTACTAAAAAAATTACAGATTGCCTCCATCTTTGTGGCCTCCAGGATTTAGGATAGAAAGGTATTCTCTTTACCTAGCAGAGGGGTAGTGTTAAGGAAAGACTTGATAGGGTAGTTGCTAATGAGTTTTGGAGACTTACCTTCCATCTTAGTATAGTTATTCACATTCTTGTCCTAAAGTATGACCATGTTGGTTTATGGCTGAAAGTCAGAAATAGGGATTCCATAGGTGATTATCCCAAACCTTTCAAGTTCCTTGCCCTTTAGATAACTCCTAGACAGATAATTAATTAGTTCCATACACAAGTTCAAAATTATTATTTAATTAACAATTCTTAGACCGATAATGTGAATAGATTCAAGAATAATATTTTTGAATAGAATAGAAATATTTTTGGTATATATTTAAAAATAAAAAATAATTATTCAATAGAATTGAGGGAATATCTAGGAAACTAGCTAGCAGGCACAATCCTTTTTTTGGTTAACCTAATGAAAAAACCTCTGAACAAAATACCAACTTATTTTAGATTAAGATGAATCCTTTTGGTACCATAACTATAGGTTTAATTGAGTTAAATTAGGGAATAGAAATACTAAATTTTTTCATAGAGCAACCACTATTCAAATAAAAATAGTATTGAAGCTATCAAGGATGAAAATGATAATTAAAAATATGACCCTTCTAAAATTATGCTTATTGCTCTACACTATTTCAGAGAGATCTATTTAGATACTAATCCTAATAATTTTAGTCTTTAGTCTCAGTCTTCTTTTCCTCCCTTTAGAGATTTAGATAAAGCTAGGTTGTACTCCAAATTATCCCTTAAAGAGGTCAAATCAGCTTTCTTTATCGGTAATTTCAAATCTCCTGGTTCAGATGGACTTCATGCACTATTTTTTAAAAGTCAGTGAAATTCTTTATCTCTCTTTATTTTTAAATTTGTATATCTTTGATAAGGAAAAATGGAGCATCTATCATGTTTTTTATTTCATTAGTCAACCTAAAAAAGATTATATTTTTCTAATTTTAAACAAGTTAACTCTCAAACTTACCTCTTTTCGAGAGATGCCATGAAATCTATCATCATTTGAGTACTATAAAATTAATGTGATTGGTAATTACAGGTTGGACCATATGAGTTGTGGTGATGTTATACAAGATTGTAGAGACAAATGATTAATTTGATTTACTTTTTTTTTTTATGATAATGACTTTGCTTTCAGTGATGAATTAAAAGTAATATTTTGAAGTCTCAACTTGGTCAAATTAAAATGCTATTATAAGATGATTTTAAAATTTGATTATTTAGAAGCAGTGAACTTTATTATAAAGAAATCAAGAGTTGTCTATCTTTAAGTGAGTTTAATTCTATAAGATATTTATCATCTCATGTACTCATGTCATGTTATTCAAAAAATCAACTCAGTAAATAACAAACCAGCTCAATTGACAGTTTCATTTGAAGATGCATTTCACTCTCTAAATAATTCTTCATATACTGTTTCTAAATTTTTAATTTTAAATAATTTACATATTTTATAATTTTATAATTTTTAAAATTTTTAATTATTTCGTCCAAATACAAGTCCTAATGCTATTACTAAATTAATATCATTTCCATATGATAATTTCCAAGATCATTTGAATTTTTTATTTATATGTCAAAACATATAATTTTGTTTCCTTTTAAGATTTCATGCCATACAGCGTTAATATAATATTTCTTTTATCATTTTAATTCACAATAAAGTAAATATATAAATAATATTTTAATTTATATCAAATTTAATTCTAATCGTGTAAATTTTTAAATCCAAAACATCACACTAAAATATAAATCTTATAACAATAAAAGTATAAATTAAAGAGACGAGTGTAAAAATATATAATATTTCGATCTATAATCATTTGGCATTTTTTATGATCATTAATACAGAAATATTAAAAAATCGAAAAAAATCTTAAGTTAAATAGATGATTTGATTTCGTATTTGATTTTATTTTTCTCGAAAATGAAAGTTGTCGTGGGTGCGAGGCAATTATTAGAAATCAACATCCTTACCCTTTCAGTCAACTACGAGGAATGAGACAAAAGCAAGTAGTTAAATATTAATGATTGACAAGTCTCCTTTGAATCTAAACAAGGAAGATTCAATTCATGTTATCGTTAATCCTATCACGTCTTAAGTGGGTAGGTCTACAATTCTTGAGGATCTTTTATACCCACGTGTGCTACTCAGCCCCTTCGCAATTAAACTAATTATTTATACTAATAGCCATCGAATCTGATATGTGTGAGTCTTTAGTAAACGATGGAAAATTATGCACTCGTTTGGTCTATACACTCTGCATATTCTCGGAAAATAGCTCATTTGAAATAGCGCGTGTCCTGTTATAGGGAGATCAATTCCACTTCTTTTACCATTCTGCAGTCTCTGACTATGTCTTCCTTCAACATTGATGGGTTCCTGCCACTATATATAGCACTATGAGGATATCCAACAGAATCATACCCATACCATTGATTCTTTGTTGCATAGTACTTTCTGCCCTAAAAGAAACAGCACCCTTTGCTTTGATAATAAGCTTTTCTTCCTTTAACATTAATCTTTACTCAAAGAGAGAACACATATTTTGTGCACGTACACAAATCACCAAATAACCTTAATTTTCAATATATCGATCCATGGACGTAACCAATTTATCCATCGAACAAATTCAGCCCCCTACTTACGGAAACTTGATAACCATTCTTAGCATCGATGGGGGTGGTATTAGGGGCATCATCCCCGCAACCATTATTGAATTCCTTGAATCTCAGCTTCAGGTATGATGATAATGCACCTACAAATCTCCAACTAGCTAGCTAAGTACATAACTACTGTTTTTAAGGCGTTCTTAGAGAGGTTAACATTTTTCTAACATATGTAAGATTGCACATGATAAAAAATTAATCAACAATAATGTATTGTTGGTAGAAACTGAATAAGTAAAAAGCATGCACGAATGCAAAAGCTTTTTATGAAAGAATAATATTTTAAATAATTTTTCAAAAAATAGAGAATCAGTTGATGTAAGTATTATTTTATTATTTTAAACGAATGATTAATTAAATAATTGATCTCGATCATGCAGGAATTGGATGGTCCTGATGCAAGGCTTGCAGACTACTTTGATGTGATATCAGGAACAAGCACAGGAGGTCTTGTAACCGCTATGTTGACTGCTCCAGACAAGAATAATCGTCCACTTTTTGCTGCCAAAGATATCAAGCCTTTTTACTTGAACCATTGTCCGAAAATCTTCCCACAATATAGGTGATTAATTAATATTGCTATATAATAAACAACGGATGTCTTGCTTAATCTATTTTTGTTTAGCTACATATAAGAGTGTTTAATTGTAAAAATTTTAGGAAAATAATTTATGATTCCACAGTTTCTTTTAATATATGATATAATCTATTTATATAACAAGAAGTTATACAACAAATGTTTAATTAATTATTGTTACCAATTGCCAACATTGTTGTAATTAGTATGAATTAAGATTAAAAATTATAATGGGAATTCGTTAATATTTGGCAGAGGCCTTTGTGGAACGCTATTAGCAAAGGTAATAAGATCTTTGGGAGGACCCAAATACGATGGAAAATACCTTCATGGGGTGGTGAGAGAGAAACTTGGAGACATTTGCTTGCATGAGACCCTCACTAACGTTGTCATTCCCACCTTCGACATCAAGTGTTTGCAGCCAATTATTTTCTCTTCATATCAGGTAATTCCTTCTCTCGCTTTCTCTCTTCTTTGTTTTATTTTCACCGGAAAAATTAATGTGGTGTTGGGGATTGAGGGCTATATTTATTTGTTTATGGTCCTACTTGGACTTTCGGGGGTCGAAAATTTGACTCCAAAGAAATAATACAGCATCTCAAACAGTAATTACATATATTGACTACGAAATTATTTTCTTTTACAAAATATAGTACTGTTGTATTAATTTGTTTGGTTAAAGTCAGCTATGCTGTTTTATAAAGTAGAACGAACAATTAACTCTCTGATTTAATTTATATAAGTTATAATATATTTTATGTTTTTTCTTAAAAAATCATATAAATTATGAGACGTAAAAGTAATGATTAACTATATGATTGACTGTGAGAGAAACAGTTATAAAGAAATTCAATTTAGCAAAGTCAAGTCAATGATAAAACATAGGCTAAAAAGATTAGAAATTCTTGCAGATTAAGAAGAGCCCATGCATGGATGCTAAACTCTCAGACATATGCATAAGCACGTCAGCTGCACCTACTTATCTCCCTGCCCACAATTTCACGAACCAAGATTCGAAAGGGAATGTACACCAGTACAACCTCATTGATGGCGGCGTTTGTGCAAATAACCCGGTATGCATAACTATAAACTATTCACTAATTAATCGCTGTTATAAGCTTTATTTAATTTCTAATTTTGCAAACATCACTAATTTAATTGTTTTGGGGAACTCCATGATCCAGACTTTAGTTGCCATGAACGAAGTAACAAAGCAGATCATTAAGGAAAATTCTGATTTCTTTCCAATCAAGCCTCTCGAATATGGCCGCTTCCTCATAATTTCAATTGGCACTGGGACAGCAAAAAATGAGGAAAAGTTCAATGCACAAATGGCAGCCAAATGGGGCTTATTGGATTGGCTAACACACAGTGGTTGCACCCCCTTAATTGACGTTTTCTCTCAATCCAGTGCCGATATGGTTGATTTCCATTTATCTACTGTAACTCAAGCCCTTCATTCGGAAGATAACTACCTTCGAATTCAGGTAAATTTCCCAATGATACATGAGTTTAATTTGATATATTACAAATATATATATATATATATATATATATATATATATATATATGTTTTTTCTAATGTCAATTGATTAAAAATCATTCTAGCTAATGAAGTATAAATAATGATCAAATTTGTGCAACACAACATTGCAGGATGACACATTGACCGGAACGGTTGCTTCAGTTGACACTGCTACAAAGGAGAACTTGGAGAAACTTTGCCAAGCTGGAGAAAAGCTACTAAAGAAACCAGTTTCTAGGGTCAATTTAGAGAATGGTATGTTTGAGCCACTGAAAAACGGGGAAACCAACGAAGATGCTCTCAAAAGGTAAGCTTAAAAACGACATTTTCATCGTAATAATTTGTACAGCAGTTCATTTAATTACATTGCATGTTACAGTTCAGTTATTACACGTTGCAATTTATATTAATAACGCTTCTGTTTATAATGCATTCAGGTTTGCAAAGATACTTTCACAGGAGAGAAGAGTGCGTGAAATGAAATCCCCACACACTAAAAAGGCTAAATTTGGAGGCACTAATTAATTCCATTGGCTTCATTGGTTTAATTACTGCTCGTAATTGTTGCTTATAGAAAAGATGTCTGTAAAATATTAGAATAGAACGGGTTTTAGATAGAGGTCAAAGATTAAATTGCTTGTTTAGACAAAATGTAACTTTAATGATTCGTTCATTTTTTTTATTTGTACTTTTTGTCATTCTTTTTATATCAGTTGATTTTTCAACTGTAAGTCAATAATAATAAAATCTTACTCTTGATGTAATTGTTACTCTCAAATCTTGTAAAGTCAGTTTGATATTCCTTGTGTATTTGAAATTTTAATTTGTATCCTTGTTAACAAAATTTCTCGATTGTAACTAATTTTTTATATTGTCATCTATATTATCCATAATAATAATTTAATTAATAATTATTACTATAATTTTATTAATTATAGTAAAAATGTATTAGTTACATATACTTTGTTATTGATATAAAATATTAATGATAAGTTTTTATTTTTTATTTAAAGTTCTTCACTAATTTAAAGTTCTTTACTCGCTAATTAGTATTGATAAAAAAATTTATATTTATCTTGTTAGAAGATACATATCATCAACCACATTTAAATAAAATAATATTATTTTTACAAAAATAATTCAAATCACATTTAAAAAATTATTATTACAATTTGTCGGTGATACTTTGATTATAGAAGAAGCTACTGAACAAAATTTGTGGATGACAAAGACTATTTTACAAAGATTTGAGCTTTTATCTAAGCTTAAAATTACTTTTCATAAAATTTGTATTATGGAGGTGAATGTGACAGGTAATTTTCTAAACACAATATCTCGATTTCTAAATTACAAGGTGAGATCTTTGTCTTTTCAGTATTTAAACATTTATGTCAGGAACAAACCGAGAAGAAAAAGTGTTTGGCAAAAGCTTATTGAGGTACTTAATCACAAATTAGCATCATGAAAGCACAAATATATCTCTATTGGGAGTAGAATAACACTTCTTAATGCTGTTCTAAATAGTCTTCCACTACATTATTTATCCTTTTGAAAAATGTCACCATGTGTAATTAAAGAGGTGGCAAAGATTTGTCAGTTTTTTTTGGAGTGGAGTGAAGGAATAATTAAAAATAGCTTTGATTGAATGAAGAAAAGTATGCATGCTAAAGCATGAGGGTGGTTTAGGGTGATAAATATGGAATGGTTCAATTGGAGCTTGTTGGGTAAATGTGTTTAAAAAGGATTAGAGTTTTCAAACTCAATGTGCTTTGATGTGCTTTGAGAACAATATGAATCATGTGTTGATATGTTAATTTTTTTGGAGGTAGCATATAATGCTTTAGATTGACGGAGGGACGTGGTATAGGTCTGTAAGCAAGCCAATAAGTGGATAGATTCTAATGTCACACGATTGATTGACGATGATTGTTCTTTTAGTTTTTTGAAAGATAACTGGGCAAGAAATATTGCATTGGCAAATTTATACTCAAGGATATTTTTCAACAACAACTAATAAGGTGGCTCAAGTGATGGATAATTGACGATTTGAGATGGATTAATGGGTGTACAAAATTTCTTGAAGAAGACAATTATTTTCATGGAAGGAGGAGTTATAGTAGTAGTTGTGGAAGACTATAAAGGGTACTATAAAGGGTAAGAGACTGAGAAAAAATGTGAATGACATATTGCCAAAATTTTAACCTGTATCCTTGTTGATAAAATTTATCGATTGTAACTAATTTTTTATATTGCCATCTATATTATCCATAATAATAATTTAATTAATAATTATTACTATAATTTTATTAATTATAATAAAAATGTATTAGTTACATATACTTTGTTATTGATATAAAACATTAATGATAAACTTTTATTTTTTGTTTAAAGTTCTTCACTAACTATTATTGATAAAAATAATTGTATTTATCTTTCTTATATATCTTGTTTCTTTAGAAGATTCATCTAATCAATCACATTTAAATAAAATATTATTTTTACTAAAATAATTCAAATCACATTTTTTAAAAAATTATTATTACAATTTATCGATGATACTTTGATTATAGGAGAAATTATTGCGCAAAATTTATAGACAACAAAGACTATTTTACAAAGCTTTGAGCTTATATTCAAGCTTAAAATTAATTTTCATAAAAGTTATATTGTGGAGATAAATGTGACGGATGATTTTTTAGACACAATATATCGATTTCTAAATTGTAAAGTGAAATATTTACCTTTTCAGTATTTAAATATTTATGTCAAGGATAAACTAAGAAAAAAAATGCTTGACAAAAACTTATTAAGGTGCTTAATTACAAGTTAGTATCTTTAATAATTATTTAAATAAAATTATAAATTTAATGATTCGTTTTCCTGTTTTATTTGTACTTTTTTTATTCTTTTTATATCAATTGTAAATCGACTATAATAATAAAATCTTACTTATTCTCAAATCTCAGTTTTAAAAGTAAGTTTGATATTTTTTGTGTATCAAAAATTTTATTTTGTATCTTTGTTGACAAAATTTCTCAATCATAACTAATATTTTATATTGTGACCAATATTATCAATATTAATAATTTAATTAATAATTATTACTATAATTATATTATTTATGATAAAAATATATTAATTACGTATAAGAATGACAATGGATAAGGTACTATCGTATCCATTTTCATACCTGTATTTTAAAAAAGTACTCGTACCTTACCCTATATCTATGTGGATAGTAACTTTAATCTCCATACTCGTATTTTTTAGATATTTGCATACCCATACTCGCTCCTATTACTTACATCTATTTGATTTTATCTCAATTCCATACAAATATTTTGAACAAAAATGCAAACATTCTTGTACAACGTATGCTTCGTTATCATATTCCTTTGAATGAGCTTTATTTCTCACATATGATTTAAGACTACACAAGTATCTTTCAATAAGATAATCTAACAATGTTGCACTAGTCTAACCATCTTTGCCTTATTTACTAAGTGAATAGTTAAATAGATCATTAATTCATTATGTCAAACACTCAAGAAGGATTTTTTTTTTCAACTAACTATTATTTTATCAAGTAAATTCAAGTTTTTCTGTACTCAATGTTTTAGAACATATCTTCCTAAAGCAGAAATTTAGTTCAATTAGTGCCTCAAAAGTGGAAGATAGTAATGTAAAATACAAGACAATCATATTATTTCATTCCATATATTTTTTCTTCTTTGAAATCTATACATCAAGATATTTTGGATGAGTAATTATCAAGGGCTTTCAAACTAACTAAAAAAAAAAAAAAAAGTAAGTTCCTCCTTATATGATATAATATAACATGCAATTTTAAATGTATATTACCTATTCAATTATGGTTGTGAGAAGCTTAAATTTTATACTCAAGTACTCTGAATTAAAATTACATTTTCTATTATTTTTTGTCTTTCTTTCAAAATTCACTCACATATTTTTTTTCAATATATGTGACACCAAGATTACATTATTATTCTAGATATATCCAATAAGACAACTCAAAGAAATTAATTTTTTCCTTCTAATTCTCACATAACTAAAATTTTTCATACTGCTTATCCTTTTAAATTTACCAAACTTCACATGAGACGTAGTTATTCACATGTAAACATGTTAATAGTCACATGCACACATAAATTTTATCTTTAAAAATTATAAACAACTCAAAAAATAAACTAAAAATAAGTTTAAAACTATAATAAAAAAATTTCAAGAAATATTCAGATAAAGTAAATAAAATATTAATTTTTTAGACTGAAACTTGTTATTAACATGTCTTTTGTCAAAATGTTGTTTGTGATATAGATATCTTGAAATCTTCAAACTCATTTTAAATAAATTTAATAATTAACCTTAATGAGCTTTTTGGGATCGATTTGTGCATTATTTTAAATATTTATTTTATCGTTTGAAAATGTATACACTTCTGGTAAAAGAAGTATTGTTTCATTATTTACTTTTACACATAATTCTTTTAAATTATTTTTTATGAATTCAATACAAATATCATGCACTACCATATTTTAAAATATTAATTATATTTGGAGTGACTTATTAAAAAAAATTTTATTTAAAGTTCTTCACTAACGTATATAAGGCTAAAGTCTAGGCTTTTGACTATAAATTTTGACTTAATTACATCTTTAATCTCTATAATTTAATTCAATTTTTAAATTTTAATTATTAATATTTAGTTTGTATAATTTTTTAAATATTCAAATTAAGTTTTGCATTCTAAAATTTTATTCAATAATTAATAAATATTTAATATAGATGTCACATTTTATTAATTAATTTATACAAATAAGTAAAAAACAAAAGATGTAAAATATTTAAATAAAAATAAAAATTTATAATTTATAATTGGTTATAATGGATTTGAAGTTATACACTCACAGTTAGAGACTTAAACACTTGTACATCAAACAAAAGTTTGTAATTTTATCTATCTAATCAAAAAAATTAGGCAAAATAATATGTAATTTTATCTAATCAAAAGTTATAAAATAATAAAATTATATTAACAATTCATGAACATAAATAAAAATTGTCCAACCATATTAAAAATTTATATTTCTCTTCTTTACTTTTTGTTTGAATGTGCTTTCAGTACTAAAGAACATAGACAGTTTCTCTCGCTTTCCTCCTCATTTTGCCCTCAACAGTGAAGCTTCTTGGTTCCTTCCTATATTTAGTTGTGCAGTTCTCCATTTTGATAAGGTATTTGAATCGTTAGATTTGGAGACACTAATTAATTCCATCAACTTTATTGATTTAATTACTGTTCATAATTGTTGCTTACAGAAAAAATGTCAGTAAACTATTAGAGTAGAACTGGTTTTAGATAAAGGTAAAATTAAATCACTTATTTTGACAAAATGTAACTTCAGTGACTTGTTCGTTTGTTTTATTTGTATTTTTGTATTCTTTTGATATCAGTTGTAAATGGACTGCAATAATAAAATCTTACTCTCGATGGATTATTACTCTCAAATCTTGATGTAAAAGTCAGTTTAACATTCCTTATGTATCAGAAGTTTTAATCTTCTAGAATTTCTTTTTATTATATTCAGTACTATCTTTGTTTTTAGCTTTAAATCTATTTTGAAAAAAAAATTCATTTTCAATTTTTATACAATATTTACATTTTGTTAAAGTCATATATACCCCTATAAAAGAAAGAAATGTAATTAGACGTGAACATAAAAATCGTAAATGAAAAAAATAAAAGATATAATAATTTCAAAAAGTATTAAAAACTCTTTTAAACTGGTTGCAGCAATTACGCATGACGAGGAAGATT